GCTCTTCACTTACTGTTCACTGTTTCATGTTTTAGGGGGGAACAGAGTTGAAAATAGGCACTTTCATTAGTATTTTGAGTCATTGTAGATCTGAAAGGCTATTTCATCTCCTCATGCTTTATCTTGACAGTGAATATGTGAGACCAAGTCTACACACTATACACATCTTTATCTAAAATTGGCTTCAAAAATGAAATATTGCTGCCATTCTGGATATGGATAACCTTATAGCAGTTTCAGCCAAGTTTACTTGGGCTTTGCCTGTACTTTTAAGCTTACCAACATATATATGTGAGGTTTACAATGAGAATTATCCACAGAAGAACTTGTATCAATTTTAGGCATACATTAGTATAACTTAGTGCCTAGACCAGTAGCTCAGTGATGCCCTCATTTAGAGGCTTTTCAGTGACTGTTAAGAAACTGGCATCTTCATAATGGGACCTGCACCTCTGAAGTGCACCTAGTTGTTAGGAGAGCCTGACATTTTCCATCTGTGTCCCATGTTCCTGAGCAAATTTTGTTTCGTGATCTCTTTGAGTCCTTTTGCAATCACTTCTTGATTGCTTATGCTGGAATTTATGTGATGTTTATGGTGCATCTTGAGGTAGTGGTAGTTATATTTTATCACCTGGAAAATAAAATTGACACAGGCCTTTAAATATCAAGGAAAGCAGAGTAAAGGCTGTCAGCCTTCATTATATTTATCCAGTGTGCTTCACCCTACCTCTTGTACAATTCTTTCATCTGCTGTTCCAGAGAGATGAATTAAGAATACGAGGTTCATTGTAACTTTGTCAGGTGAAGCTATGTCCTCGCCGAGGACAAGGACAGAAATTTCACTAGTTTCATTTTCATGTTGCTTTTTGCTGCTGTTTTTGCAACTTTAATACTGTCGAAATAGCAGTAGTGCTCTTCTATGGATGCTTTTAGGGAAAGACTGGCTGAAACTTGACCGATGTGTAGGAGCAACAGGGCACAGAACAGGGGAGGGAAGCGGGTTAACATCACTCAGTCTGTGTTTAGAATGCAGTTTTAGGTATGGGAGAAAAAATAAACTCCGTTATTGTACAATAATATTGCATTCATAATACTGCTAGAAATAAATATTTGCCAGAATGGGGTCAGCTCATAAATTTCTTGTACATTTTAAGAAACTGCATATTTAGAATATATGGACTTGTAATTCCAAAGTTTCTGCATAGTTTATCTCCTCCTGCTGTCATGGCTTTAAATCAAGGAAAGAATATTTTATAGAGGATTTATTTGTAGCTAATGTTAGTCGTATAGCTACTGCTGCTCTAGGCTCTGTTATGTTCCCCTAAATCATGTAGACAGTGCATCGGTTATTTAAATATGAATATCTGACAAAAATATTATGGACTTAAGAGTGATTAGAGCACAATACCTAGAATGTGCTAAAATTAAGTGCTTTGAATCTCTGCCCCTGTTGCAAATGATTCCTGAATTGAATTGTCTGACTGAAAATGCAGCTTTAAAACCCTAAAACTTTGTTTTTTATTCTACTCGGCAGGTCTTCAATGGATGCTAGAGGAGCTCAGTTACTCAGAACTGTCAGAAAGATTTTATTAATGTATGCATAGTATTAAAAAGAACTATGTTTGAATGTGCGCATAAGTTTTTTGTCTTCGTTTTTCTTTAAATAATCTCTTAAGTCAAGTAGTTACTATAAGGAAGAGCAATAATGGAAATACAGAGTGAATCCTGAAAAACACAGTTCAGTCCATAGAAGGATGACAGCTACAGAGCAGACACTTGGATGTAAACAGAGTAAAAGGAACATTTCTTGGGTCCCTAGGTATATTTCACACAGTGGGAGTGGGTGAAGAAAACCTATTTGCCTTTGAATTTCTGCAGGGCAATACTGGTACCAGAGATGTACCCAACAGGGAATTCAGATGCCTAAGCAATAAGCTTCTTTGGTGTTTCAGCCAGAAGAAAACCATTTCTATACCCCTCTTGCTCCAATGATGATTTTCACAACTGGAAACTAAGTGGCACAGTTTTGTATTCCTGAGACTACACTGTACTGCTGCTGCTCAGCCTTTATCTTTACCAATGAAATTAATAAGTAACAAGCCTCTCTAATGTCACTGTGGTGTTTCAGGTACCCATGGACAGCAAAGAGGCTGGTAGGAGTTGAACTGACTTTCCTAGCTAGCAGCAGAATCATGCTGCAGCAAACACAGGCAGGAGAAGTTTTTTCATTAGCAATTTGCATTCATCCACCTCTCTTTCATCCCACTTCCTTTTCTAACTGTACCTGATTAATAATCTTTATCTCTCTGAGATTAGAGTACTGAATAAACTTTCTGGTGACATTCAAATACAGCACTTCAGTGAAATGGATCAATTTAAACAATACACAAAAAGTTAATCCCTTTTCATAGCTGCATGTTCTTTCATTTATACCACCAACCCCACAGGTACAAAGCTTCCATGTCTGGCCATGTAACCCCAGGCTCCCTGTGCTGGCTCAGGTGGACATTTCTGTCCCGGCTCCTCACCAGGTCTTTGCTTTTCTTTCTAGACATTCCTGGAGCACATTGCCAGTTGCAGCCTATTTCCATTGACTTCGGGGCACTTGACCCCATATGTGCTTGCAAACAAGCACACTTGTTCTCTTGGATGAACATGCATGCACAGTGGGGTTTGTTTTTCTTCTTTTTTTTTCCTTTAAAGTGTGGTGTTGAAGCCAACGTGGATGCTTAGCCTTCTAAGCAATTCTTGCTGGAATTAAACAGGGCTATCGAGAGCGAGGAAATTGTTAAATGCTGGGAAAAGACTTCCAAAAGCAGCTCCAGGCCCGGTGCCTTGGTTTCACCCAGCTACGATCCGTAGTGGTGTGTGGAGCTGCTCGCCAGGAGGATAATGGAGTTGGCAGCTGTCCTCTGGGGCAGGACCTTGGTGGCCCTTAATGACAATCATCAGGAAAGTGGTCTCACTTATTCAAGTTGTATTAACTCAGTTGAGTGACAGTGTTTAGTACAGAGAATTGGGTGGTTTATGGGGTTTTCTTCCTCCCTGCTCTCATGTAGATTTGATTTCTGCACACAAGTGTAGAAATACTAAATATACACACCAATAGAGTATTTATATAGGCACTTAGCCATCAAGCTCTGAGCTGGTGACATGGAAAGATTTGATTTGTGTGTACAGAAGAGAAATGTGTGTGTGCAGATGCATGTTGGAATTGCCTTGAGCGGATTTGGAAATTTCATACCTAATTTCAAAACAGTACTAATAAATATGTTGATTCAAATGAGGAAAGGAAGCTTTTTCTCTTTCAGAAAGACTTAGTTAAAATTCAGGAAGTCAAACTGCCGAGGAGTTAGCACTAGGATTTATAAAACGACATTGAAAGGGAAGCTTAATTAACATTTCACTACCCTTTCAATTGGACTGAATCCGTGTCTGGTTTATCACCCACCTAAATGTGTTAGTTTGTATTTGAAGAATGTTTGTGACAGTGAGCCTTCAGGAGAAAGCTCAGCTTTTTCCTATAATCTCATTATAGCATTTGTGTATTCTATTTGCTTGCTTTGACCTTGGATGATACAGAGAGAATATTCAATGTATATATCATAGATTTCTGGGCATCAGTACTTGTTTTCTTTTAACTGTTAATGTAGCTTTAGCTGGAATTTAAATTTTTTGGTGTTTTTTTTTCTTTTGGTCAAAACAATGTACACGCTATATTAGTAAGTTGGGTATTGATGGATGAGCACACACAGGATGGCAGGGCACACGAAAGCAAGTCATCCCAGGTAAGGATGCTGCTCTGCATTCCTTAGGATAGAGTAAAGAAGTAGCAGCTGCTTTTCTTTCTCTCCCTGAAGAACATAGTGATAATAGAAATGGGATATTAAAAAGGGCAACATAGATTAATGGGGCAATAATAAAACAAATGAGACCCATTAGCGAAATCACTGCTTGAAAAGTAGATTCTGTGATAAGTGCCCTTCAGTGCCTTGTGGAGGGAAAATTGTTTCAGCACTTGTAATGTCATCCATGGTGTTGGATTTTAGACTGTTGTGACAATCTAAGTGATAGAATCTTAAAATAATTTAGATGAAGGTAATCTTCATTTGTACTTACTGCTTGGTAGAAAACTTGAATGATTAAATCTAAATGTTGAAGACAAGTTCTTTTTTTTCGAATGCAGACAGAGTGTTTTTGCATGTTCCCAGAGTCTTTCATTGAAAAACAAAGCAGTTTTGTGTTGTTCTGTTAAGCCTGTAAGGTGATCATGAGAACTTGAAAAGCCTTATTTTATTGCTGGAGCACCGGTGCTATGGGGACTGATGTTCAAACAGACTTTGAACTGGCATTGGTGGCTGTAGCAGCATGTCCTGTTTTTTAGTTGTTGATTTTATATTAGATTAATGATGAAAGGTGTGCATTGCACTTAAAATGTTACGTGTCTCTGTTTGCTCTCTGCATTTTAGACCAGACAGTTTTCTGAAGCATTTAATGAATAGGGAAAATACAATTCATTTCTGAGATTTATAGGGTACGTTGTCTGTAAGGAGAAAAATGTTTGGGTTTTAGAGATAACAAACCAACTTATCAAAGGCTCACAAACCAACTTATCAAAGCCGAATATATTAGTTTGAAAGTGCTCTTTCACAGATCATCAGGAGATAAATGGGTCTAAGTCTCCGAATTGTCACATTTTTCTTCCCTTTCTCCTTCTAGAAATGCATGGCTGTATTGTGGTAGGGTCTAATTTTTATTTATTTTTTTTTTTATTATTTTACAATGTAATTTTGTTAAATCAGAGTGTAAACATTAAGCAATACATGTCTTGCAAGATGCTCAGGGGAGCAGGGCATGGGCACCCTGAGCACTGTGCCTCCGCTGTGCGCCAGCAGCACATCCCATCCAGCGGTGGAAGAGGAGGGCCGGGAGGCGGCTGTTGCTATCGTTCTGATGTCAGGCACTCTCACTAACGTGTGGTTGGTTATTCTGCATTTCAGATTGCTGCCGGTAGCGGAGCGCAGAGGGAACGGCGAGACTCCCACATCTTTCAGCGAGAAGAAAGGAGTCAGCGGAGCAGACTAATACGGACTTGTGTCGGGTGCCCTTGCCCTACAAAGGCTGCCTTTAAAAGAGAAACGCAGTGTTATTTAATGAGCTGTGAGATGAGGCACTGCTGCTAACGCTCAGATCCCAGGATTCATCGGCTATTCATTGTGCTTAATGTACATGTTTCTGCACCGTGCATTTAGGAGATCCCAGAGAAGAATCCAAAACGGCTGCGGGGGAAAGACCACCAAACATGCCTACAGAAACATTACCGACAGGTAGCATGGTGAAGCCGGTCAGCCCTGCCGTGACTTTCACATCCGCTGTTCCTCTCCGCATCCTGAACAAAGGACCTGACTATTTTCGCAGGCAGGCGGAGCCTAATCCAAAAAGACTGAGCGCAGTGGAGAGGCTAGAAGCCGACAAGGCAAAATATGTCAAGAGCCAGGAGGTCATCAATGCCAAGCAGGAGCCTGTGAAGCCGGCGGTGCTGGCGAAGCCACCGGTCTGTCCTGCGGCCAAGAGAGCACTGGGAAGCCCCACCTTGAAAGTCTTCAGCAACAACGCAAAGACTGAGAGTGGCGTCCAGAGGGAAAATCTGAAACTTGAGATTTTGAAGAACATCATCAACAGCTCTGAAGGCTCCAGCTCAGGTTCAGGGCACAAGCACGGTCCCCGAAATTGGCCACCCCACAGAGCTGATTCAACAGAGCTGAACCGACACTCATTTGCCGAATCTTTGAAGGTTTACCCCACGCAGGGTCGTAGCAGCCCACAGGAGAGCAGCTCCAACGTCAGCAGAAGGCTCCTAGATCAATCGGCAGAGACTTTCTTGCATGTCTCTCACAGCTCTTCAGATATTAGGAAAGTAACTAGCGCAAAGCCCTTAAAAGCAATACCCTGCAGTAGTTCAGCCCCACCTCTGCCTCCAAAGCCCAAAATCGCTGCCATTGCCACCCTGAAATCCCCAGAGATTGAGGCAGTCGAGTCTGGATGCGGAGTTAGTAGAAGACCCTCCCTACAGCGATCAAAATCAGACTTAAGTGACCGATACTTTCGCGTCGACGCAGATGTGGAACGATTCTTTAACTACTGTGGACTGGATCCTGAAGAGCTTGAAAACCTCGGGATGGAAAACTTTGCAAGGGCTAACTCTGATATTATATCCCTCAACTTTCGCAGTGCAAGCATGATTAGCTCAGACTGTGAACAGTCTCAGGACAGCAACAGTGACCTTAGAAATGATGACAGTGCCAATGACCGTGTGCCATACGGCATTTCAGCCATTGAAAGGAATGCCAGAATCATCAAGTGGTTATATAGCATCAAGCAAGCTAGAGAGTCACAGAAAGTGTCCCATGTGTGAGAGAGAAATCCACCATAGAAAAAACAAGGACTGTATCTTTGTCTGTGAATATTCAGTTTGTGAAGGGTTGTGAAGTCTACTTGAAGTCTTGTACCCTTCTCAAATCTCTTTGTGTTGCTTGTTGTGCAATGTTTCCAAGTTGCATGCCTGTCAACATGTGAGCTGACCTGGCTTCCACTTGAACAATAACTAACTACAAAGCCTGGCTGAGCATACACATTAACTGCCAAAAGTTTAAGACAAGAATCTGATTAGGGCTTCAGTATAATCAAAGTGTTTACATGGAAAGGTTATATGACTTCTTTGGTATTTATGTGGTTCCTTGTGGATTTTATATATGTCACTTTCTGTCTTAATACGGATATTGTCAACTGATGTTACTAGTTTCTAAGTTGAAACAGAATCCCTTTGGGGGGGGAAGAAAAGCAAAATTGGCCAGAAAAAAGAGGTTTAGGCATATGACGATAGGCACAGCGGCCTTATCTCTTGTAGAAAGTGCATTATTGGCACATGAAAGCTGTTTCTAAAAGGCAAAGAATGCTATGTTCTTAAATTATGTATCATTGTTAAACTATATATCCCTACTTGTAGTAAAGCTCTATTCTGTAAAGGTTTCTTTTTTCTAGGTAAGTTCCCTCCGTTTTACAGCAGAAATAGTCTAGTGAATCTTCTTGACCTCTCATAAACTAAATGAGTCTTGCATTTGGGTTGGTGAAAGCATTTTTAATGATTTTGTATTATCCCTGTTGGAAAAGCTTAAAGAAGGTCAGAGTGAACAGACGGCGCAGGTGTGGGATTTTGTGGGCTTAATTTTTACTCAAAGATTCCTGGTCTTAAACTTTTGACAGGAATAATTAGATCCTATAGCTGATATTGAATGCCTTTATTAGTCAAAACACATCATGACTACAAACTCCATGCTGTCTTTTAATTTTTTTTGTAGACCTATTTGAACAGTTAATGAACAAAAATGGAAACACACAGCCATATCAATATAACGCCTCCTATTCAGAAGTAAATACACTCAGTAGCTGAACTATATCTGAAAAAATGTGATTATGTTGTCTTGCATATGTTATATCTAAGGCTGTGAGGGTTTGTTACAGCTCTAGGAAAGTGTAGAAACATGACAGTATGTAGCTTTTTTCTTTTTTTTTTTTTTTTTTTTTACCTCTTTAACATGGTTAGTGCTGCAGATCAACCTGTTACAAATCTTTTGACAATCTGTGTCTTCCCAGTGGTTTAATGAACTGTCATTTCAACTGACAGTGGTGGTGTGGTAGTCGAGAAGTTGAAAGTACAGTGGTCTGCTTCATTATTATTGTATACATGCTTTGAAGTAAATTGCAGCACTACCTTATACTACATCAGCTAATAGGAAACTTTTTTATTGTGTAAATGCTGTAAGACTTTGTATATACTTTAGTTGTTACGAAATCTTTAAAAGGAAGAGTGTTATGCTAATAAATAGCTCCTGGTGCAGGTATGGTAGGTTTTTTGTTCTTTTTTTGACCCCTTCCATTCTTAAAACTATATCAGGAACTCAATTGCAGTGTCTTTTAGTGCTGTAGAAGGTCTTGGTTAAATAATAGTTCCAGTAAAAGGTTTCTTTTACTAAAGTGCTTTTCAGAATATAATTTTTTATAAAATAACTATAGCAGCATGATCTGTCTGAAGAACTAGAAGAGGTTTTCAAGACTCCTAAAATAGCTTGCTTCTTCCTTACCTAGCAATGTTACTGTTCCCATTTATAGCATCTGTTCATAATGAATCACTGCAGTCTTCTGAATTATTCTTCAGTAGTGCTTATTTATATATTTGAATATTAAAGATATTTTACAAAGTCGGGTTCTATCTTTTCTCTAAGAAGCCTGTAGCCCAACTTCTTACAGCTACAGTTAATGCAGGCAAGACTGGAAGTGGAGCCAGGTAGTCGTTTGTTGCCTATGGGATTATCCCGCATCCAGTTTTAAATAAGTGTTCTCCAAAGGATTGTTCATGAAGGGGGGAAGCACACATTCAGTTTCAGGAGGCCATTCTATGATTTTTACAGTTGACTTCACAACCTAAGACTTACAACATTCCTAGCTTGGACAAAAAAAATGAGGAGCTCTGTATTTCAGCTACAGGCACATTTGTGACATTTCAAGCTCCATGGATTTCAGTTGGCATTGACATCACACTGGTTTTTCAAGCATATTTTTCCAATAGTAAGTTCTACTCAGTTCAGTGACTATTTTGCCAAGGAAAATAATGCTTAAGGGATTAAAGCCAAGTGTAATGCAGCTGTACAGCAATGAAATAAAGAAGTTAAAACCAAAATAAAAAATGCACTCACATTGTCCTCTCTCAAGTGTTTTAAGAATTATGAGAAACATGCTATCTCAAGTGTTATCAGCCAAAAACAGAAATAAAGAAGCCTTTATAACTAGAAAATGGATTAGAGCATATCCTACTATTCTGAAGTGGTTTCCCAAGGTTTGTTGGGAAGCCATAGGCTCTTGAGAAATCAAATTAATTTCCTTTTAATCCACAAAGGGTTTAGGCTTGTGAGCTGTCTGTAAGAGAGCATTTCCTCACCTGAGATCTTAGGCAGCACCTTTGAAACAGCACAAGCTCTGCTTCTGCTATTGCTGCTTTTTACAATGTTCACACGAATAAGACTTCGGAGAACCTACAGACTTTACAGGACCTTCACAGTCAGCTGAACTTGCAAGTCCGGTGAGAGTGCAATAATAGAAATCATAGGATTGCAAAATGTTCACAAGGCTTTGAACAAGGAGGTAAAAATTGCCTTCATTTGTCACTTTGTTACCATTTATGCAGACAGGATTTATTTATTTATGTTCTCGCTATTGCCTGTACATTTGTGTAAAACCCAAATCATTGGTGTGTCTGATCTGTTTTTGTATTCAAATGGGAATAACTATTTTGCCTTTGCAGACAGGTAATCCTGTCATGTCGAGAGAGTCCGTTATTTGTATCTGCCTTAGGAGATTCCCAAGTGCTAATGTTGTATTCATGGAGAGTTGTAACCAACTCAAATGCTTCATCAGGGATCTGTTCTGGTCATGTTCCTGCTGTGTCCAGCAGGCATTTACTCAGGTACAAAGTGCACAGCAGGTGTTCACAGCTACACAACAGCTCTTGTTGCAGCTCTGGAGGGAGATTCAAGTCTGGTGTCCTGTGAAAGCCAGTACTGAGCCTGGTGCTGGCAGTCCTGGCTACAGCAGTGAAGAAAAATGCAGTATGTCTTCAGTGATTAATATGAATTCCCACTCACGCACACAAAAGAAACCACCACAGAGGTTTATGGTGGTTCTCTTACTTTGACTTGCCAGGGAGGGGAAGGGAGAGTAAAATGATGTGGCCAAGTACACTTTGAAAGCTACATACAGCTTTGCACAGAGATAAACCATTTGTCTGAGTGAAAGAGATGGGCATCAAAGTAAAACTGGTCTTTTAATCACTTCATATTGTATAGTAACAATGTCATGAAAGATGAGAGATAGAGGATCTGTGCCACAAATTTACATTCAACAAATTCAAGTACTGAAATTGTCTCTTTTTTCTGAATACTGTTTCTGCAAGGGAGTGCGTTCTGCTGTGAGCGTATGCACCATCTGAGTGACCGAGGGCTTTTGAAGGGTAAACACAAAATGATGATGCTTTTGGCAGTAATTCAAAAATCAAAAGGCACACTCAGACAACAGAGCCAATCAGTATTGCTGACTTACCTCTTTTTGCAGCAGCTTATCCATCCGTGGAGGCCATACGCACTTGATTCCAGTCATTCAATGTAAAACAAAGTGCTTAATGGGGCTCTGCAGTACAGAGCTGAATAATTCCAGTCTATAGGAGAATAGGAAGGGAACTAAACCTTAAAAAGTCTTTCTGATATCTTTTGATTATGGGATGATAATATTTAGTATGTTGTATTCAGAGCTCACTTGTTCATAACAAACTTTATTAAGCGGAGTAGTCTAACAAATCTGGGAGGTTCCATTTTTCCAAGGCTATAAAACTCACGTTCTGTGTGATTAATGGTGTCACACTAGTAGCTGAGCACATTAGGCTTAGAATATAAGAGCATCTGGAGCTTTGTTCCTATGAACAGTAAGGGTCCATTGCCTATTTTGGCGATGAATATAAATGCAGATATAAATGCGCTATACAGAAGAATACATTGGTCAAGGTGTTTTGTCCTGAATTATAATATAACTCTATCAAAATCCTTGTTAGCAAGGCTTAAACAGTCACTGATATTCTGAATTCATCTGGCATTCCTTGCTGTCAGCAGAAAGACACCAATAATCTGCCCTTTGAAATATGTCACCCATAGCTTAATGGAAAGGCCATTAAAATTGTCTGTTCAGTGTAAGGACTTTTATCTCCTGATGATGGCATCTGTTAAGTGAACCTCTAAATAAGCACATTTCAGTCAGAAGTATTAACCCCTAAATGCCTTTTATTTTTCTCCCTGGAAGCCCAAATGGTGATCAATAGCTGCAGCCTACCATTTGTTACACTTATTGCATTACTGTTAAATACTCAGATGTTCTCCCCTGGGCTGCAGTGCAATCTGAAGTGGAGACACCTACACTGCACCATCTGTCTTGCCCTGGTAGGTATGAACAGCCTTCAAGTATATTTTACATTTGATCACATAAGAATTTGGTTGTGGCTGCCCATCAAAACTGAGTAATAATTAGTGACTTTAAAAAAAAAAAAAAAAAAAAAAAACTTTAAAAAAAAAAAAAAAAAGAAAACCAGTCATTTATAGAACAAAAAACTAGTCTCTTAAATGTCATTCTTCTAAATTTAAAGTAATTTTCATGATGATCTTATGACAAGAGTATTAGAGTGCTGGTATCTGTGCTATTATTTCTTGCTTTTGGCACAGCAAGTCGTCTCCACCTTCTTGGTGTCTTGCCTTTTCTGAGTTTTCCCAGCTTCCTTCTTCCTTTCTGCATGTTCCTTCCCTTGTGGTGTCTGGCTTTTTCATCATATTTTCTTTGAAGCTTATTACCAAGGTCGTTTTATTCTCCTCACTTAACCTCCTCCCAAAGCAACTTTCCCCCAACTTGTTCTGTCTTTTATAATCAGCACATTCATGACAGCCTGTTACCAAGAGAGTAAGTCTGTGGCTGCAGTTGAGCTACCATGTCCTGAACAGATAGTAATCTTGTTAATGGCTTATTTTTCAAGTTTGCAGGGTGTCATGCTATTTGCAGGCAAGATGAAAGAGATAGATGTTGTTCTTCAGGCAGATGTAGCGACTGAAAACACTTGTGAAGAACAGGGTGTCAAGCATATCTTGAAATGTCAGTGTCTTGGTCCAAAATTGTCTGTATTTTTTGCTATACCATATCTCTTGCTATTTTTTTGGCTCCATGTAAAATACTGTCTTGAGGACTTCAGCGTGCAAAGGTCATATAATTTCCACTGAACAGAATGGTACAGGCCCACTATCCAAGAAATATTTATTGATTTCCCTTCTGCTGTTTGTTAACAGGGTACCTGTGTGTCTTGCACCTGTGACATCCAGACTACTTGCACTGCATGCACAGTTCCCAGGCAGTCAGTCAAAAAGCAAATGCCTAAAAAGACTCATAAAAAAAGAGTACAGTGGAAAATGCAGGAGAGGCAAAGCCTGTCCTCACCTGCTGTTGTAAGCAGGTGCTGCTTACAGCAGCTGCTATTCAGTTGTGGTAAGAGGAGGTTTAGAAGCTGAAGTCCCCAGACTGCCATCTCATGCAGCCCTGGGGCTGAAGGTCCAACAGTTCAACCCTGTGTATGAGAAAAGGATATCCATGTATCTAGGCATCTGGGAGACAGGATAAATCACTGTATGGAAGAAGGCAGCACTTGCTGAAGCATGTTCCTGTTTCGGTAAATACTTGCTACTTGTGTCTTAAAACAGGAAAACAAGGAAAGAAAACAGGGTTGAAATTTGAAGAACAGCTGTGTATGCAAATATTTTCAGATGAGATGCGGAGGTGGGCAGATAGTTTTGCTCTTTAAGAAAGGAAGCTTTCAAAAAATCTTTTAATAAATGACCTGCTTTTCAAGTATATTAATCTTTTATGAAGTCTGTCTTGCTATTTTGAACTGTAAAAGCTTTGCTACTCTGAGCACACAGCATTTAGAAATGTACAGGCAGTGATTTGGAGTGACTTAAATACTAGGATAGGATGGTGTTTTGCTGAATATAAACTTAATTTTACTAAAATTTTGTGCAATGGTGTTTTTTCCTGTATTTTAAATTGATTGTGAGGGGCAATAGAAAATTAACATAGTCTTATTTATTAATTTTGGCCTACAAATAAGACGGGGAAGTACAGATTAATGTGTCTGCATGAAAACTGTAGTATTAGGTTTTGGCAAAGGCTTGATTTTCTTCATCTCTGTTTTGCTTACCTCAGAGCATATCAGCTTACACGTATCTGGCACAGAACTCACTCATCCCATCTGAAAATGCCTTCTGCAAGCTTATGGTTTTGTGTCCATCTGGTGAATTTTCTACAGGAAAGATATTGAGGTGCTGGAGCATGTCCAGAGAAGGGCAATGAATCTGGTAAAGGATCTGGCAACAAATCTCGTAAAGGAGCACAAGTCTGATGAGGAGCACCTGAGGGAGCTGGGACTGCTTAGCCTCGAGAAAAGGAGGCTCAGGTGGTACCTGATGATTCTCTACAATCACCTGAAAGGATGTTGTAGCAAGGTGGGGGTCAGTCTCTTCTCCCAGGTAGCAAGTGACAGGGCAAGGGGAAACAGCCTCAAGTTGTGCCAGGAAAGGTTTAGACTGGATAGTAGGAAAATCTTCACCAAAAAAGGTTGTGAAGCATTGGAACAGGCTGCTGAGGGATTTGGCAGTCACCATCCCTGGAGATGTTTAAAAGATTCGTAGATGTGGCACTCAGGAACATGGTTTGTGTTCAAATGTGGAGAATTTGGTAGTGAAATTACAGGTTTGGGGTTTTATTCATCCCAAATTCTGTACAGTCAAACAGAGCCAAAGAAGCTAATGAAATGTGTGTATGTGTGCATATATGGCTATATAAACACAAATAGAATAGGGCCGGTAGCAATAGGACAAGGCATAATGTTTTTAATCTAAAAGAAGGTAGAGTCAGATTAGATATTTGGAAGAAATGTTTTACAGTGAGGATGGTGAGGCACTGGCACATTGCCCAGAGGTGGTAGAGGCCCCATCCCTGGAAACATCCAAGGTCAGGTTGGATGATGCTCTGAGCAACCTCACTGAGTTGAAGATGTCCCTGCTCGTTGCAGGGGGATTGAACTAGATGACCTTTAAAGGC